AGAATTTCTAAAATGTTTTAACCTGGAGAAATATTTATGATATAATTAAATTATATCCAGCATAGTTTAGTCAGTAGATCACTGCAAAAGATAACCGTGGAACATACTTGACGATTAATTTTTGCAGAACAGCTGTAGGCTTGAATATGTATAAGTTAATTTCAATGTAAATATTAACATCTCTTACAAAGCAATATCTCTCAAAAGGATGAAAGCAAACAAAACAGGAACCAATCAGTTTGCAGGTAACAGAGCATTTTTCTGATCATTTGTTTCATTTACGTTTTAAGGCACTTACCAATTTCACCTAGATATCCTCCAGCAGCAGAAATTTGTGAAATAAAGCAAAACTTGTTGCAATTTTAAATATCTATTAAATGTTCCTAAGAATTGGCCTCACAAAGAATGCTATCACTTTGCAGAAGATCTCATTGTCTAAAATGTGTATCTCATAGTCATTCATCTAAAGCTGGTTCTAACCATCAAGTTTCAGAGACATCTGTAAAGAGCACAGCTCCTTGTATGCCTAACATTATTTATTTATTTATTTATTTATTTATTTTTAATGGCAGTTGTCTACCTCCCTCCTTTGGTCAAGAGGTAAAAAGGGACAGAGAAAGGGAAGAGGGAGGTGTTGTAGAAAAGACTTGGCCTTGCAGTTAAGGCTTCTTAGATATGCTTGGGTTAATGCCTGTTTATTTTCTTTTAGGGATAAATCTGAGCAATGGAATGGTTTGCGATTGTCCTGCAAACCAGCCATATCAGACCTATCAGAAAGGAAGAATCAAAACTGCCTCAGAGGACTCCTGCAGTGGCTGAGTGGCAGGTTGCAGGGAAAGACAGACAAAAAAAAAAGAATGCATTTAGGGTAGAGGGAAAAAATATATATTCACATGTAAACTCAATAAATAATAAGATGTAAAGAAAAAAATCTATAGTAATGGAAAGGGTGAATGCATAAGACAGATGATAAATAGTACTTCTATTTAAGAACCAAAGGATGAAAGCTCATGAATACTAAATATTTGAATCCACTTTAAGAAGGAAATATGATTTTCCCTCAAATGAATGCAAACTCTAAAAAATCAGCCAATGCAAACTTACTGTGTTCAGGTTAAAATGAAAGTATGTTAATCTTTCATGAAGTGCGTGCCCTGGTAAATATTCTAATGTAATTTCTTAATTAAGATGTATTGCTAGTAACTAAATGAAAATATATATAAAGCAGTAAGTGCCTTGATTTTCAAGAAATCTGACTTTCTTGCATGCATGATTAAAATTACTTAATGCATTTTTTTCTGGTAAAAAATTCAGAAGACAAGAAATCATGGTAGAAACTGTCATTCAATTTTACCATAACATTCCATATACTAGAATTTGAATTTTTAACGATTTTCAATGCAGTTACAAAAAGAGGCACACATTTATTTTGAAGCATCCTGAAGGGGAAAAAAAGAAAATAGTACATCTAAAAAGAACATACAAACCTAAGAATTCAAAAATTGAAAGAAAATATAGGTAATAGTATTATTCATGAGTGTACTTACAAGAAATATGTGCAAAAAACAGATTTGATTGAGGGGTGGGATAGCTTTAACATCCATTCCATCATTACAAAGTTTTATTCACCTTTGCTTCTCAAACGCAAATTATGTATCTTAAGTAGCAGGAAAACTATATAGTCTTTTTTATAGAACAAAAAGCAAAACTGTTATTTGCAAAATAAGAAATGGAAACTGAAGTTTTTTTTCCTCAGTTATGTATCAAGGTATGTAAAAGTATCACATCAATCCATTAGCATATTTTATACCAGTACAAAAGTGATATTGAGTGATGCTGATTGTATTTCATTCATAACATTGAGAAAGAAATCTTGTGGATTATTCCTTTCGGTGATAATGGCTTTATAATTGGCACAGAGAGGGCATCTGGCTAAAAATTCTACATCAAATGAATCACTGACAATGGGACAAAGTCCTTCAGAATTACTGGAATATTGTCTTGTCTAAAGCAATTTTTCTTTTTTCAAGCAGAAAAAAAATTACACATCTTCTGTTACAATTATTGTATGAAATATCATACATCTATCCTACACAACCCTCCCCTTTGCCATATATTTATTCTATTCACATAGAGCAGTAAATAAGGTGCATTCCTTCTGCTTCTTAAGAAATTAGCATTTCAAAAATATGCCACTTTCCCCTGAACTCCTAGCGTGTCTAATAATGCGAGAAGCAGATTGTCTTCCCTCGTTTCCTTAATTTGTTTCATCTAAAAGCAATTCACTCAACATCTTGTCGCCCTCTGGCAGCTTAGTTTACTTATCCGCACTTAATTTCTCATTTGGACCAAAACAAACTCCTCCAAACTGCTACTGCCTGCTAACCGGGAGAGGGGACACACGCAGTATGTGTTTCTTGGGGAGCTCAGAGCCCCACATACCTAACCACCGCCACCAAACCTACATCCAACCACCTTCCACCCCCAGAGTCACTGAGTTTTATCAAACCATTACAATTCAAATCCAATGAACTTTCCCCGCCAAGTGTGGCTGGGTCGGGGTGGAGGGAGGGACCGGGAATACCTAAATCCCGAGGGGGGCACGCGGCAGTGCCCGCTGGAGCATCACCTTAGCCTGCGAGTTGCAAGGGTACCAAGGATGCAAGCCCCAAGCTGATCTCTGCGCGCGGCCCTTTCATCTCCAGACCACTCAGTGTTTGGCTACTAGTGAGGCTCGCCTTTGTGCCCCCAGAATTTCAAGTGCAGAGTCACCCACAGAACAACAATGGCACGCTAATCCCCGCGCCTGAAATGGGCTCACTTGTGGGTCTGACAATTCGCCGGGGGAGGGAGGCGGGGAGGGGGGGAGGGGAGGGGATGCGAGAGGCCAAGAGCGAGGGCGCGAGCCGGGGTGGCCCGAGACGTGGAAGAGGACAGCTGCAGAACTAATTTGGATTACATTCCTCGCAGAAATTCTGAAAAGGGCTTTTCGGCCAGAGCTCCGCTGCCGGACTCGTTCAGTTCATAACCAAATTGCGGAGCCCGAGTCCAGCTCCCATGGCCGAGGTTACACCAGACAGTCCCCCACCCCCACCCCCCTGCCCCATACACACACACCCGCCTCCACCCCAAACCCCAGTAGGTCGCCTAGTCGAAATTCCTCTGGGCTAAGTCTGCGTGGCAGTCGTCATTGCTTCTGAATGGGTCCGTGTGCATAATCAACCCTTTGAGTGGGGGGACTAGAAAGGGGCTAGGAATGGGCAGGGAAATTAATTTAGAGAGAAGAAGAAGAAAAAAACCGCGGGGGAGGGGAGTGTGATGTAGCTAAGAGGCCGCTTGGAATCCCGTCTCGGTGCAATTCGGGAGGTGGCTGCAGCGCCGGACCTGGTATGCATGAAGAATTTCGGAGTCATCAGGGAGGGTGCAAACGTCCGGGACAAACGGCGCGCGGGGTGCCACGCGAAGGTCATTTTGCCAGGCTCCGGGGATTGTAACTTTGTTATTGACGAGACGAGGCGGGGGAGGCGGCGGCGGCGGGGGCGGAGCAGGGAAACCGGGGCGCGAGGCTTTTCGGCAGGAGGTCAGGAGGACACCCACCGGGGGCCCGACGCCCGCGCTCGCGCAGCTCCCGGGGGCTTTTATCTCCCCGGGCTGCCTCCCACGGTCCTGCCACCGGCCCCAGACCGCTCCGGAGAGCTCGCGGCTCCCCGCCAGGCGCCTTTCCACCCCCCATCTAACCCACCCATCCCCCCAGGCCAGTGTCCCTGGCCGTCTCTGCCCCCACAAGGCTTTCCCGGCCCCGCTCCCATCGCTCGCAAACTCAAGTGTCAGAAACTTTGGGGTTCCCGGGCCCCGCAGGTGCGGTGGGGAAGCCGCGGGGCCCGCCGCCGAGCGTTCAGCCCCGCCGCGCCACCTCGCGGGGTCCCCTTCGCCTTCCAGTACCCTGACCCGATCCGAACGCGGAGTTGGGGGCTCCAGCCGCCCGGGCCCCCCACCTCCCACCCCGGGGCCGCGCGCCCCGCTCTGCCGCGCCCGTCTCGGCTTTAGTCTGTTCGCGCGGCCGGTCGGGCCGTCAACAGAGAAGTTGGAGCGAGTCCGGCCAATCGCAAGTTGAACTCCAGGAAGAAAAAAAAAAAAACTCCCCGCAAGCCGCCACAGCAACCGACGGCCTGGCCAGGCTCTAGGGCTGCGCCAAGTCAAGCCTCTGGTGGTGCTTTATTAATTAATTTATTTATTTTTAAATAATCATCTTAAGTACAAGAGGTCAGGCAAGCACGCTCCACGCAAATTATTGGGGCTCCATCTCCGGGGCGCCCAAGGAGATCCCGGAATTCTGGGTCTCCCGGGCCATGCTGCGCTTGCCCCCACTCCGCCCGGTCGCCCCTGGTCCGGGCTACCCCGCAAAGACTCGGGGTACACTGGGAGGTTGAAGCGATCGCCCGCAGCACACGCAGGTGCAAAGCCACGCATCTCGGAACGGCACCCCTTACTTGTCCACCCAGTCTGTGCTTCTCCCCCGAGGCTCCGGCCGGCCCCGCCTGGGCGACCCCCCACCCCAACACATACACACACACTCAGTTCTTCCGCGGCCACAGCGGTGAGCGCAGAAGCGGGGAGTCCCGCACCGCAGGCGCGAGCCTTGGGGATCCCGCGGTTGAGGCTCCCCGCAAAGGCGCGAGCAAGCAAGGGCACTACCCGAGGCTGGGGGCGCCGGAGTCGGCGGGGGGGGCGCGAGCGGCGTTTCCCTCCCCGAGAAATCCAAGGCATGCACACCTCCCCCGGGGAAGTCGGGGCGGTCGGGAGAGGGGTGACCCCGAGCCCCATGAAGGCGGCCCCCGCAGGAGCGGTGTGCCCGCCGGGGTGAGAGCGGGATCTCGGGTGGGCGACCCTGGGCGCCCGAGGTGTTGGGGTCGCGGGGTGGGGGGGGTGTCCTCCGGATGCCGCCGCGCCCGCGACCGCGCGTTCAACAGCTGAAGCTGCAGCCGGACGCCGCGACTCACCTGATTGAGAAGCGCCGGGCTGGACGGTCCTCGCGGCCACCAGAAGGCTCCCCCAGACCCACAGTCCTGTCGCCAGCTTCATCGTGGGCAAGTCTCGGCTCCCGTGCTGACCATTACATGTCCAAATGGCATAGCCCCCTTCGGGCACGCGAAGGCAACCCCCTCGGACGGGCGCGCGGGGCGAGCGGCGCGAAGGGCACCGGCGCGGGGTGCGAGGAGTCCGAGCCGGCGGGGAGCCCGCGGGTGCGAGTGCGCTCGAGTGTGTGCGCGGGGGGCTCGGGGCTCTCGACTGCGCTGCTCCTGCCCCGGGGAGCCTCCGCTGGCTCTCTCCCGGCTCACTTTCTCTCTCTCCCTGGTTGGTCAACAATAAAATTGAAAAAAAAAGGGGGGGGAGAGAGAAAAGGGAGGAGGGGATGGGGGGGGGGGAAAGCGAGGTTTCCAAAAAAAAATAAATAAATAAAAGTTGATTGCAAAGAGGCGGTAGGTTTCCGGCCTCTCCACCCCCGGAGCCGGGCTCTGTTCGGTTCCTTTTTCAGTTTCCTTGCACCTCCAGTCCAAATTGGGAGTCCAAGAGGGGGGATGGGGGGGTGGGGGAGAGCTTCTGGCTTCGCTCCCCAGCCTGTGCTTTTGCCTGTCAGCTTTCCTCACACTTGTCCGGCGGCTGCGGTAATTAAAGCTCCGAGCGTCATTTCCAACGCTCCACGGTCTCCAGCTGCAGCCCCACGGAGAAATTAATAAGAGTCGGGGAGAGGGGAGGAGGCGGAGGGGTGGGGGGAAAGGTGGTGGTGGTGGTGTGTGTAGGGGGGGGGGGCGGCTCACAACCCTCCACGCAGCCAGGCGGGCTTGGCTCCGCCGCGCAAACCCCGCCCCCGCCCCGTTAGCCACGCCCCTCCCGCCCCGCCCCCCACCCCACCCCCCCGCGACCCCCTCCCCGGGAACCCTGATTGGCTCCGCCACTCCCCAAAATTGACGGGCTCCGGAGTTGGGAAAACACCTGTCAGGGCGCGAGCGCGGGCCCGCTGGGGGCGGAGGAAGCTGAATCGCAAAGGCTCACCCGAGGCCAACAGAGGCCCGGGACAGCTGGTCTGCGGGGAGCCCAGACGACCCGAGGGTGCTCGCAGCCAAGAATTGGTAGCGAGAAAACGACGCCAGGTCTTGCAAACGTCCCGCGCTTGCTCATCTGCGGGACGCTGCTCATCAGACTGCGTTTGCGTTCTCCCCCCTGGAAATTGAAGAAAAGACAATAGAGCCTCTTCCGTCGACGTCCAGCAGCCCCCCACTCTCCACACTCGGTCGCTGCTTCCCAGCTGCTTTGCTAAGGGGTCTACTACGAGGGAGAGTCCTCCCCTCCTCTTCCCTAACTCGGCTCTGTCTCCCACGGTTCCCACCCTCCCCAGCGGACGGACTCGCAAACTAGAACGTTAAAGTTGCACGCTGGCGCAGCTCCACCCTGGGATCTCTAGGCTGTCTGGGTCTTTTGCACTTTTCCTTGGCCTCCAGAGCGATTTCCCTTGGGCTTCCTTCTTATTAAACAGATGCTCGCCCCAAAGCAAAGGGTAAGACCTTTTTCCGACTTGTTCGGGCTGAAAGAACTTGAGGAAGTTACCCGGAAATAACCAACCTCCAACGCTTTAGGGGTCTTATACAGTCCGATCTGGCTTGAGATTCCTTCCCTGGTCTCCCTTTACACATTCACACTCTCCAATTGTCTGGTTATCGCTAGCAGGGAAGCTTCTGGATTTTTATTTCTCTATCTGAAATATCCTGGGATGGGATCGTATCCGTGTCCATATGCCTGCCTGCCTTTCACAGCTCTGCAGCCCGTCCCCTGGACAGAAGCCAGACCTCCCGCGGGTAGTAGGTTATTGGTTTGCTATTTACACAGGCATTCAATGTATGAATTATTTTCCTTTTTCAGTTTCACTAGAAGCAGCAACTACATTTAAAAAATAAAAGAAAAGTAGCAGCGGAGCTTAAAAACGGAGTTCCCCTGTGCCTTCCACCCTTCATTGGAGATCTCAGCATTCTCCCCTACACCTTCTTTGGGTAGCTTTGTTTCTGATGAATTTCCATAGAGTTGCAAATTGAGGCAAATAGCAGCCTAGAGCCTTTACTCTCTCAGGCCCACAGAAAGTAATGGGCTTCCAGGAGAGGCCTAACCAGCTGAGCTTGCCGTTTTGCCCTGCACAGCTCAGGGCCTGGAGAAACTAAAGGAGAGCAGCGGATGGTGACTTGACCAGAGTGGTACTGATTACAACACAACTCTGGTGCAATGCTCTTTGCCATCATCTATTTTTATCATCCTCCTCCTGGCTTTTTTTTTTCCTTCAACTTTCATTCCATTTCTTCTCAGGCCCCTTTCCTTAAATATCCTTCTGCCTATGAGGGCTCCCAGACACCTCTACGAAAGCTACTTCTTTTTAAAATGTTCTATTCTGTTCTCAAAGTAATAAAGTCATACATACGAGTCCTTCCATTATTAAAAAGGGTTTTTTTTTTTTGTATTTTGAAAAGTCTTGTTTCAGATGGGAATTGTGTAGTAAAAACCAAACAAACAGATTGCACATTTTGGCTTAGATTGAGGCGGGGAAATTATTCTTGTCTTCTACTTGTGTCCATTGTGAGAGTTTTCACTACCTGGTCCATTATATAGTTCTTTACAGCCCAAAGAGCATGGTGGGAACTCTCACCCATTGCATCTGAAATAAATATTAGTAACAGAGAGATGTCAACTTACATTAATTAGTTAAATAAGAAACAGTATTTTGTTTCACACACACAAAAAATATGTCCGCCAATGAAATCACCCGACATTCACAACCTGTCTCTAGTTTTCCTTTTGTCCTACCTTGACTTCACTTCACCTGGCTCCAATGGACTGAATAAATGATTTGTATATGAATTAAGTTGAGTATCTGTCCAGAGGTCTGTGAAATGCTCGAGCGGGCCCAGTAACGTCTCCATTGGAGACTTTGTTGTTACTGTGTCTGGCATATCGAATACTCTCGGTAGCTTGCCGGGCTCTCCGAGAGGGGCGGAGGAATCGAACTCGGGTCGGCCATGTTGGCCGCTTGTAAGGCAAACGCCCTACCCGCTGTGCTATCGCTCCAGCCAGGATAAAAGTTGTACCCAATGAAAGCACTCTATATCCCATCCTATAATCTACCCGATTACAATTTAGTTCAAATAATTTGAACATGGAAGTAAAGGCTCAGGAGGAAAGTGATACCTTTTGGGAGCATTTTGAAAGGCCGAGAAAGCAGTTAGAGCACTTGCATTGCACGTGATCTAGCAGGATTTGATTCCAGGCTGCCAGGAGTGATCCTCCAGCACAGAGCCAGGAGCAAGCCCTGAGCACTGTTGGGTGTGCACCCCCCCAAAAAAAGAAAAAGAAAATAATTCTATTTTCACTCTCATTTTGTTTGTCATCTCCACTGAGTTATCAGAACAAACACTGGAGTAGGGAATATTTGCTCCTTATGTGAAGAGGATGTGCTAACAAATTTGCTAGAGAATTTCAGAGATGGGTTTGTCATTGCTTTAATTTCTCCCTCATCATCATAATAAATTCCTATGAGCAGAGCCAACTAAATATACGGCTATTATTTGAAGACTGAAAAAAATACATGAGTAATCCAAGCGTTATTAGCAAGCCATGAATAAATACCTAGAGTTATGTGTCTAGAACTCCTTTTCCTTTAACTGTTCTTTCTTTAGTTCTACAGTTTTAATTTGTTTTTGTCTTCATTATTCAACATCACTCCATCACTCCCCCCCCCCACACACACTTGTTCTACATTGTACCAGTTAAAATACTAAAATTGGCCAATCAAAATAATTTAATTAGTATTGGTTGTGTGAGAGTCAGTCCCATTAAATAGCTTTTCTGTGATTTTTGGGCAGGGAGAAAGAAAGAGTTTATATTCATTTATGATTGGCTTTGAAAAAAGATCAGAGTGACCTTTCTATATTTCTATGTTAGAAAGATCAAGCTGTAGTAAGACAAAATGAAACATGCATTTGAAAGCAATCAAAACATCCCAGATTCATCTAGAATATATTCTGATGCATCCTGTGGTTGAGTTGTTCAAACCACCTTGTTTCTTAAGTGACTCCCATTTTTATTTGTATTTCCAGGTTAACACCAAAACTTCCCCAACAAGAAAAAGATTCTATGGGTCACTCTTCCAGACTCATTTCCATATGACCCATATTCTTCAGGCATCTTTCTGCTCGCTCTCTTCTGGCTCCCTGGATTTGGAGTGGTTACTCCAACATGGAGCTTTCTTTAATATTTGTTGCTGCCCTAATTCTCCATATTTGCTTCATATTGTCCATTTACTAACTTACTAAAATTCAAGGGAAGACCTGATACTGGTGATGGGAGCACACTGATCTCAAAGTTTAATATTGCATTATGTACCTAACTTGTCTCAAGTCTTAGATTTCACTACATTCTTCAGTTTCAAAGGCTTCCCAAATTAGCTCTTCCTGCTTTATGCATTTGGTTATTATGTATACATACAATTTTTTCAACAAATATTTCCTGCCAAAGAAAATTAGACTGTAACTATAAATCAGGCTGGAGCGATAGCACAGTGGGTAGGGTGTTTGACTTGCATGCAACCGACCTGGGTTTAATTCCTCCACCCCTCTCAGAGAGCCTGGCAAGCTACCAAAAGTATCCTGCCTGCACGGCAATGCCTGGCAAGCTACGCATGACGTATTGGATATGCCAAAAACAGTAACAAGTCTCACAATGGAGACATTACTGGTGCCCGCTCGAGCAAATCGATGAACAACAGGAGGACAGTGCAGTGACAGTGCAACTATAAATCAATTAACTTTTCCTAGGTGTTTTACAGTAACTCTGGAGACTAATTTCCCTCTGCCCTGCCCATCATTTTCTTCCTCATCATGTTTCTAGGTTATATTGTGATCAGAAGCAACTCATTAACACACTTGGGACTAATCCTTATTTTTAGTAATTTTTAAAAAATCTTAATAATTTTTTTGTTTGATTTTTTTCTGACCACACAGTGCTGCTCAGGGCCCGTTCCTGGTTTTGTGCTCACAGATCAATCCCTTCTGGAAGTGCTTAGGAGTCTACATGGGATATCAGGGATCAAACCGAGGTCATTTGTGTATAGGGCCAGTTCTACTTGCCTTACTACTGCTCCAGGCACTAATTCCTCCTTTTTAAAGAAAATAATTGTTATAGCTTAACTCTCAGACTTCATGAGCCTATAATTTACCAGGCATATTACTAGTCTTTATTTTGAGACCTCAATTATTTCTTATTTTATTCTTTGCTGTCACTCCAAATACCTCTTCATTTGGGTC